CTTGATCTCACCTTGCAGCAAGCCACTGCTGTGGATTTTAGCCTTTTGGTATCAATCTTGTTTTGCTAAGGGATGACAGATGCACGCTGCAAGGGAAGAGGGGTTTGGTAGATGCTCCAAGCTTAAACAGATCTCCTTGGCTTGGCTGCCTGTGACTGCTGCAGACTAGTGGTCACACAGGTGGGAGAGATGGCCTAAGTGGGAGAGGTGAGGATTTGGGGCACAGAGGAGAACCCGAGACAGAGGGCACTGCACCTGAATCAAAAGCTTTTTTCCCTTGTGACTAAGTCATCCCACTTTTCACCTCAGTGCTCTCTGCTCTCTCATGGGATGAGAATCCACTGTGCCTGGTCTTTCTGTCCTCTTTAGCTTATGCACAGCTATTGCCTCTCACTACCTAGATGCGCATGGCTTAGTAAAACAGGGACAACACAGGCTAGCATACAAACAAAGCCATTTGCTCAGTTTAACACAAGAAGGGATAGAAAGGCATTCCAGTTCTCCTAGTGCTCCTCCTCAGTCCTTTTAACTAGTCCCTGTAGCCAGCAAGCTCCTGTTCACACTGCCAAGAGCACATCGGAGGGGCTGGGGGAGATCTTGGACGACGCATGTCTCCTTCCTTCAAAATAACAAGCTTCAAATGGCCACAGACAGCCTCAGCAGAGCAAAAGGACCAGATATCAGGGACATACACCCGTCAGGCTCCATCAAGGTGAATCTCAGCATGCCCTTCATGGGTGTAAGAGAAGAGTGCCAAGTGCTTTCCAAATTGGGTAACTGATGACAGGCAAATTTAGGCACATAAACACTCTACAATGCTGTCTCGTTATCAGCGCAGTTCAGGATTGTTTTCATTTGCAGAAGGCAGGCATGCAGGAAGATATCCTAATCATGGCAAATGCTAAGAAGGGGCAGCCCTCTTGCCTGTAGCATTCAGGCATTGCCAAGTCCTGGCCCTCTGTCACCAGGTTTCATTCACCCACCAACCCCTCCCGTCCTGAGCTGGTAACCTGGAAAAGTCAGTGTTAGAAGAGGACCACAAAAAACCCCACAGGAATCCCACAGCATGTAGGAGTTATTTATCTGGAGCAACTTCACAAGCAGCAGAAAGTTAAACCCTTGTGCAGGACTGTGCAGATCCATCTGACACAGCTCTTCGGAAGCTAAGGGTACAACTGTATCTTTCCAGAAAATGCATCCCAATTCATTTCCAGGGAGGACTCAAATCCAGCCTTTGCATATGCCAGGACCAATGCTCTTAAGTTCCTGCTGTGCACTTAAGTGTCACTAATTATTGTTGGTACTTCATGTTCCTGCAATCACTCAAGCATTGACTGGCTTTAGAAGAAGGGCACAAGGCTGCATCTACGTGGACTTTGTAATTACAAGCACTGCATCCTCGGCTGGTCAAGGAGCTGGCTTTGCTCCCTTGATGTCAGCGAGCTGAAGTCAGCAGGTCAAGCTGACCTTTGAAAGAAGAAGCAAAACAGAACAGACTCGTGCAGGGTAAAAAGCAGAGGGCAGAAAGAAAAAGGCAGTGAGAAAAAAAGAACTGAAGAAAGCAGAGATGTGACAACATGGCAAAGACAGAAAAAAAGAGCAGGTTGAAAAAAGCAGGTAAGAAAGGAGCAGAGAAGGAATCAGAACTGTTTAAGACCAGAAGAGATGATCAGGTGATTTCCTCCAACCTCCTGTATCACAAAAGGGATTAAGTTTGAAAGACTTTAAAAGTAAAATCTAAAGCACAACCAACAACTCAAAAATTTTCTTAAAGTTACCTGATCTGTTTATCAGCCATTTAATTCAAATTTGATCTTGTTAAGAAATGAATCTGTTCCTTCAAATCGTTCCTTAATTTCTTTTTCAGTCACTTCTTTTCACTTCAGTTTCTTCCTGGGAAGGGAGAGAAAGACACCAAGGAGACAAAGTTGAGACACTTACACGTTTCCTGAAGCTCAGGTCCTACTGGGCAGGCTGCAAGGTGAGGCCAGCCGAGGAACAAGTGATTTAAGGGTGCACCTGGTCTCCTCAGAGAGCAGACTGAGCTTCAGAGGGAGCCTTATAAATATGTGCGTATATATAAAAATACAAGCACATATGGAGGGAAGAGCAGCCAGAGTTGTCATGTTCCAGCAGCACGTGAGGAAGGGCAGCAGCCAGGCAATGCACGAGCTCTGCCCAGCATCCAGGACAGCAGTACCCATCACAGCTCTCTCGAACTCCAGGGAGCATTTCACTCTGCACCACGTGGGCCTCCAACCCTCTGCAGGTCCACCCAGCCACCCCAAGACAATCACATGCCATCGCAAGACCCGTTCAGCACTTCCCTCCAACACATACATGCTGTTTCTAAAGAACAGTCTTCAAAAACCTGCTCCTCCAGTGGTTACAATCCTTTTCTTTATTTCCCAGCCCAAACGGACAGCCCATGCTCAGTCTTGTGCCAACACTGTCTGTTAAGTAGTGCCTCTCCCTCCCCAAGCTATTGATGTGACTTTGCCCTTTGGACCACTCCTTTCAGCTCAGTGCCTACTGGCACAGCACTGAAGCTCCAAGTCTGCAGGAAACTGTTCTCTCTAAGACTCCTGATTGCTACTGGCAGAAGTCGCCACACAAAGAAATCTGGACACCAGAGAAAATTTCAGAAGCAGCCACAATCTTCAGCTTTCTGGAGGTGTCCTTGTTGGCTCCTCACCTCCAACCCGGGAATCAGGTGCCCCATGCTTTCATCAGGCATCTCAGCAGCACTCAGCCACTCTCCTCCCTCTCCCCTTCCAGCTGCCACCTGGGTGGCAAGCCAGAAGAAGAGGAGATATCTTTGCCCTTTGCCTCTGGAATTAAATTTGCCCCATAATTGCAGATTTCTTAAGCCACACAGACTCTCACATCCAACAAGGTGGCTTTCAGGCTGACACTTCTGCTCTGGAGATAGAACCTGAGGGCCAGAGGCATTCCAGAGAATAAAAGGTCCCTGAAAGCGTAAAGAGCTGGTGATGGTGCAAACAGGTACGGGAAGCAGAGGGGGTGAGGTTACACAGTTCAGCACTGACCTACTCCCATCCCTGTTACATCAATTGCCAAGGACAGGGAAGCACGAAAGCATTTGCACAGTCCCATGCTTGGACGACATGAGACTAAAACTGCCTTTTCTGGAGTCCCACATTCAGCCAAAGCCATGAGAGACCAGCACATGGAGCTCACTAAGAAAAGGGGCTCATCTCCAAAACACTGCACACGCACCTCACCCACTACACTACGCTATTACACCTTCCATCCCTTCCATGACCCCTCTTCAGACAGTTTACCTGATCTTGACTAATCCGTGGAAGCAGACCTTAAAAAATCTCCAGATCAGCTAGGTCTGCACTTTCCGAGTGAAAAATCGCTTCCACCTTTCACTGTGTGTGCTTTCATATGCATGTCCACAAGAGTAGTTTGTTTCAGGTTTATCTAATTCTCTATCAATTTAACCAGAATAAGACCAAAATATAAAAATATAGGGAGACCAGTTGCTGAAAGCCTGTAACGCTGGCATAAACAAGCCCTGAACCATGAAAACTCACTTGATTACGTCTATACCCTCAACAGGATATTTGTGTTTATTGAGGCAGCAGCTCTGACAAAATACATGCACTGAGTGGTCCTGACACCCCACTCCAAGCTCTGGCAAACTCCCCCCTTGTTGCCCCTGCTGCACCCTTCCCTGCAGAGGGGCATCCAGGAGGCCAGGCACCCATCACAAAGGGCAACGCAAGAGAAGACAGCAAGGCTGCTAATATTCACCACTGACTGGTAGCCCAAGAGTGAGAGAGACCGAGATGGACACACAAACGTATCACAGGGCTGTTTCTTACCTGTTGACACAAGTAGGGTGATGGGAGTGGGAGAAGATGGTACCACACTGAGAGGAACTTGGGACAGCTGGGTTTAGCTGTCTCCTCGCTTTTTTTCTGCACAACCTGGGCACCACTTTTGGCTTCAGCTCTCCACCTGCCCGGTAACTGCAGAGCCCTCCCCGGCTGTCCAACCCAGCTGGAAAACTGCTGCTGCTTCCCACCAGGGAACAGATGCTCCTGCTGCAGCTGCACAGCAGAAAGGGGTAAAAATAATCTTCCTGGGTTTAAAACTGGGCAAAGTTACAGGCTTCCTTAGTGCATGAAGACCCATCCAGGCAACAGGCTGTACGGCCAGCAAATGCCAGGACTAGTATCATCTCCACTAACAAAAGCTACTCAACTCGCAGACGAATGAGGGGAAGCAAGCGATGTGATCATTTTACGGCAGACACCAGCACTTGCTAACTGTTTATACAGCACCTGGCACAGCAGAGGCCTGAATGTCCATGGCCAGGGGATTTTAATGCATTAAGGGATTTTAATGCACTGAAGTGGAAAGCTTATTTGAGCTCTGTTTGTTTAAAGAGAGCTCCAGCAAACAACCATTTGCAAAACAAACCCAAAGTCATGGCAAACTATCTGAGCACTTTGCTGTAATCTACAGAACTCCCCAAGTCCCTTAAAAGACGGTGAATGATGAAGCCTCCAGCCTCCTGGCCAGGGAGCTCCTAAGGAGAGCCGGACCCTATTCCCTCCCAGGGCAGGAAAATAGCTGCTACAGTCCTGCAGTCTGAGAGGAGGAAAAACACAGGCTGGGAAGAGAATGGTGGTAATTTTATAGGATATTTAAAAAACAAATCCAGAACAATATTATGCATTTAACCTAGAAAGGAAAGAGATTAAGTAGAGACCTAAGTATATCTCCGCAGGAACGTGGTGCTCTCAGGAGCCAAAAAATGCAAAAAAAAAAAGCAGGCAAGCAAAGCTTCTGCAGCCAAGCAGGTGTGTAGCTCCAGGGCTTCCTATGGAAGCAGGGCTTGCATCTGCCCAGGAGACATCCCATCAGCACCTGCAAAAAGCAAAAAAGCCAGCAGCACCAAAAAGGTGCTGATGCCTCAGAAAGTCTCCATATGGTTAAACATCATGGCCAGGCAGACAATGGTGCTGCTGGAATTGGGAACCTGCATGGCACGAGGAGCAGAGGAGCCAGGAGGAAACTGGTAGTGGGTAGGCAGGGGAAGTGAGATCTGCCAGAGACCTACCTCAAAGCCAAAGAGGCCGAGCAGCCCTCACGGAAGAGGGGACCTAAATCGTACATCCCATAATTAAGTGAGAGCTGTATGGGCGATGAATTACATGGCATTAATTCCTTCCTAGAGTGCTGTTAACACAGCTAGGCATGGATTAATGCCCCATTACTCGCACACCGGGATGTCCCTTCCACATTTATTGAAATGATCAAGCAAATTAGTTTCAGAGCAACACGCGCGCTGCAGTATGGGGAATCGCCTCCGTGCTAGGCGGAGAAGCGGTACAAACGGCCTAAAGCCCATGCTGCAGTGTATAGATAGCCTGGGAGCCTCCTCAACTCAGCCTCTCCCTTTTCCCAGCTCCCAAAACCCAGCTCCAGAGAGCAACAGAGTAGCCAGATTGGGGGTACTGCAATGCAAACCTAGCTAGCTTTGGATGTATCTGGTCCTCACAGCCTTGGCCACTGGCAAAATGGTCCTAATTTGCTCCCCTGCCTTGCCACACACACTCATACACCTGTGCTACCCAGACAGTAAGGTCTTCTCCAGGATGGCCAACCTTTGCATACTGCGGACCTGCTGCACTCCTAATCAGCCTGGGGCACGGGGCTGGACTTTTAACCTTTGCTTCCCACCTTATCACTTGAAGCAAAAGTGCTTACCAGAGAATCACAGCTGAGCCTGGGACATGGAGGGGAGCACGCAGTCTCACCACATGCCATGTGTGCCACCGGCAAGTTTCGATGGAGATACAGACACCCAGCACCTCCACAAGCCATGACACCATGGGAGAAGGAACAGATTAAGCTTAACCACACCGCTTTGACCACGCTTATTGCATTTATTGCCACTGCGGTGCCCTATGGCTGTGGGTTGCCACCTCTACCCCCAGATGCCATCGCTCTGCCCACAGCCTGACCTTGGGGGTCCCCACAGCTCAGCACCCTCCTTCTTGCCCTACTCCCTCTGCCAGGCCAGAGCCACTGCTGGCATCCTCCAAGCCAGCTGTGAGCTCCCGGTCCACCAGTCCTGCCAGCAGTCCCCCACAGAGGCCAGCCCTCCCATTTCCAGGCCCTCCCCTCCCCAGCAGCCCCACTCTGCAGCTGAGCACAGCCTCTTGGACGCAGACTGTCAGATATGCCAATTTATCTGAGCGCACGCAGGCTGCCGTTTTGACAGAAGACCTTTAGCCAACATCAGCTGGTGCTTCAGCCGAAAGAAGCAATGCTGTCCTCTCCCTACACCCGAACATGTGTTCCCATCACCACTTTCATGCCGGCATAAACATTTGTGCAGAGCGGTCAGGCAGGGATAAGACAGAACTGGAGGCCAGCAAATGCTGGAGCTGTCACTGAAAGCAAACATTCAAACTACAACCTTGACTTGAAAATAAACAGCAGAAAGGGAAGACAGGACTCCCTTCCACATATTTCCATTTGTCTTGAGACCAGACAAACTCAGTGCCCCAGCCAGAGAAGCCAACATCAAGAAGCAGGGCTCAGAGGGTGAGAAGAGGGAACAAAGCCACGCCAGCATCCCCTTTGTCAAGAGGATACAGCCATGTGACCGCTCACAGTCAGAGAAGGGCAGGGGGGTAAGCAATCAACAACTAATACCTGCTGGGAGAGGAGAAACCCTCTGGGATCAGCTTTCCTTCACAGTGCAAATCCCTTTGAAGGTGCGGACGCCCTGCCAAGTTTTGCTAACAACTGAAGCAAAGCTGCCATCGCAATGATAAGGTTTAAGGAGTGCAAACTGAACTGCAAATATTTCCTGAGAGAAGCTGCTTTCTAGATGCATGCCAGGC